TATCAGCTTCCTCGTGTGCTCGGAAGGATAAAGAGATGCAAAGCTTGTGTAGCAGAACAGAAAGCCCATGCCAGGTGCTTTCAGAGCCTGCAAAATGTACCTGACCCAATAGACTTGCCACTAGGGACTCACACAAGTTCATGAGTAAACATGTTCGTGGCAGCAGGTTTCACGACAGCAGGAAGGTGGGAACAAGTCAAATGTCCACCAGCTGAGGAGCGGTGACGCAATGTGGCCTATCCACAATGGAATAGCATTCAGCCATAGAAGGAATGAGACGGACACGCGCTACCACATGGATGGGCCTTGGAAATTTCATGCTGAGTGAAAGACAGCAGACAGAAGAGGCCATGCATTGTAGGATTCCATTTATAAGAAGTATCCAGAGCAGGGAATCCACTGAGGTAGAAAGCAGAGTACGGAATGCAAGGGGTGGGGCAGGGAGGAGGAATGAGAGGTGACAGCTCATGGTCATGAAGAACCTTTAAAGGGTGATGAAAATATTCTGCATGGGGGTGGTGTGCATCTCTCTCAGAAAGTGGAGGGGAGGAGTCACGTGGGGTTTCTGAACTTGATGTGCGTCAAAAGTGCATGACTCTAGACCTTATCTGGCCCAGTGTCCTGGGCACCCCCTCCTATGGGCTGGGACCCTGGAGGCAGAAGCCAAAGGGGTGGGTGCAGGTCAGTGAGCCCCCTTGCTGAGTCGCTCCCATCTGCTGTGTTGGCCGGCAGGCCTTGTAAGTGCTGGGTACCCGAAACAAGTCCCTCTTGGGAGGAGACCAGCGTGACTCCTGCTCCAGAGGACTCTTCCAGCACCTTCTTAACTAGACGTCGGGAGTCGGGTGGCTCGTCTGTGTAGACGAGGTGCTCCCATGCATGGTGACCATGCGTGGACACGAGCTGCCTGCCTACCCCAGTGAGTGAGCAGGAAGGAAAGTCTGGGTTACCCATGTGGGAACCACAGAGACCAGGCGGGGTGGTGGGGTGCCTCAGGATGAGGGGCTTGAAGAAGGGACAGTGGTGATGAGGCTGTGAGGGTCAGCTTGGCCCTGGGACCAGTGGCAGTGGGTCAAGGCTGTGGTGGGACCACTGACTCACACTTTTGAATGTCCTCTTGGGAGGATCATCCCGGGGGAACTGCTCCCCAAAGGTGAGTGGAGGCAATGACCTATGCACAGTGACACGACAGGTTAGCTGTGGCGTCCATGCAGGCTGCTGCTCAGAGCCCCTTCAGAAATCCCGCTAAGCTGCAACGAGGGTGTGCGGCCAGGACAGGGCACACAGGACAGGCCTGGGGATGCCGGCCGCCTTCCACTAGGAACGGTGGGCCTGGGACTTGGGAAATTGCTCTGACCCTGCATATAGGGAGTCCCCCACACCCCATGTCTCCAGGAGAGCTGGGCTGGGTTCGCCCCTCCAACAGGGAGAAAGGAAACCCTGGGCCCAGGTGGCTAGCTGTCAGGCAACACATTGCAAAAGCCCCAGGGTGATTCTGGGAAGCTATAGTGACGGCATTTGCAGGAGCAGAGTCGCACCCCGGCTGGGGGGCCAGTGCTTTGCTGTCCCCATCCTGGTGGGCTCTGGGCAGCCTGGCCTCCTGCCCGCACCCTCCTTCTGGCCTCCCTCCTCACTCCTGCCACAGCCTCCAGCAGGCAGGTGACCCAGCTACACATGTGTCCCCACTTCGGGGCTAGAGCCGAGCCTGTCATGCTCACACCCCTTCTCCCCTAGCACACGACCACCCAGAAGCTGCAGAAAGCACCCGCAGGACCTCAGAAGGAGCTGCAGCACCTAGCTCCCCGCCTCGACCCCATGCCTGCTGGCGGGCAGCACCTGCCACTGAAACAAGATATCACTGGGTCCTCCCGTCCCCCACCCCCACCCCCGAGCCACTCCCGGCCCATCGAAGGTCCCCACAGTCAGGCAGAGTCACCAGGAGCTGCTGAGGCTCTTTATGTGGAACAAGGATGGAGGATTCAGGGCTGGGAGGGGAGCGCGGGGTGGGCAGGAGTGCAGGGCCGGTACATGTATGTGCACACACACGCATACACACACACACTGGGCTGCTGGGTCAGAAGGTGAGTGCGCACTTGGGGAGGTGACAGGGGAAGAGAAGAAAGGGGTTGGAGGCGGCACTGCTATGGGGCTGGGGCTTCCAGTCCCCGGGCAATGTGCCCGAGACCCATAGCATGGGAGGGGAGAGACGACAGGCTGATGTCAGGGCTCCCCAAGGTGCTCAGGGGTCTGTCTGGACCAGGACCTTCCGTAGAGCAGGACAGGGTCTGGGGTCCTGCGTCTCCCACTCTGGGCACCTGGAACTAGGAGGTGCCCCCACCCTAGTGTGGATGGGCTACAGGAGAGAAAGCCTCAGCCTATTCCTCTATAAATTGGGGTACATAGATGGTGTGACACCGAGGGTCCCACAGGCTCCTAGAAGAGTCTGTGACCCTGGTTCTCCATCATGACCCACTGCTCCCCCAGTCCTTGGAAAATGCGTTCTGCTCCCTCAAGGTCCTTCTGAGCAGAGGGCAGCCTGGGGTTTGGAGATCTTGGGGCCTGGATAGTGCAGAACATGGCAGAGCACTGGACCACTCGTCACTGGACCAGGAACAAGGCCATCCTTGTTGGACCCTGAGTCCTCATTTGGAAGTGGGGCCCGGGTTACTGCCCTGCCTGGGGTGAGGAGGTTGCCTGGAGGAACTGGACACCAACCAAAGGTGTGTGTTTTGTTTCTGGTTTCCCTGCCTGGGGCTGCAGTGCTGGGGATGACCACGAGGGGGCGGACTGTGTTCACCGTGCTCAATGGAGCAACTGTAGCAGAAAAGGGGCACCCAGGGGTCATTCTGGGTGTCTCCCTGCCTCCAACCAACATGCACATTTACTGTTAGCCCCTATTTCCACAATGTGAGACACTCAGAGGCGGGAGGGACTCTGAGACCCTCCCCTCATTCATTCAGCTGTTGTGCCCCCTGCACCCACCCTGAGCAGGGGCCCTGCTAGGCCTGGGGGAGGTGCTGAAAGGACCCACGTGGTCCCTGCCCTCCAGGAGCTCACAGCCTGGGGCAGGTGAAAGCAAATGCAGGTGGGGGAGAAGGGCAGGTGCTGTAGGGAAATGAAGCAGGTGCAGGAGGGAGGGAGGGCCTCTAGGTGGGGTCCACGAGGCCTGCATGGTGACACTATGCTGTGATCAGGACAAGAGGAGCCAGCTCTGCACACGTTTGGAGACGGTGTGTGTGGGTGGTGGTAGTGGGAGCGGGGGAGTAGCTCAAGGTGCAGAGACTTGGAGGCAGATGAGAATTCAGCCGGTGGCTGGAAAGAGCTGGGGAGAAGGGAGGGAGTAAACCCGGAGGGCAGGGCCAGACCGGGCCTGGAGGGGTGCACAGGCTGTGTCTGCTGTGACGGCGTTGCCCTGACTCAGCACTTACAAGACCAGACGCTGAGCGCCTCACAGTCACTGTGACCAGGATCGTTCTCGGCTCAGCTGGGAGCAGCTGCTTTAGGTCTCCCGGGAGGCTGGGGCTGTGGTCTCAACTGAGGCTCGCCTGGGGGGGGGGTCTGTCTCTGAGATCAATCACGGGTTATTAGCAGGGTTCAGTTT